AACGAAAAACTGCCAACATGCTCGAAATATTTACCATGAAATTCGGACTGACCATCTGCTACACCTAATTAATGAGCCAAACATAAGTAAAAGATATAATAGATTATGACATCCTCAAAAAAGGACTATAAAGGAAATGAGGAATGATATCTTTTCGGTTTTACTTAATGGCTTTCAGTTGGCCTTTTACTTTTTTATTGAATTATTAAACAGGTGCAAGTAGGTCTGGCGACCCATTTTCAATCTTATCTGGTTACCGATCGAACTAATGAATAACACCGGTGTAGGACAACGCCGATTATGAAATTACAAAAAAGATTTTGTCAACGAATCATCAAAAATAACATGTGTTTGGAAGAGGTTAATTAAGAAATTGCTAAAAGTTATCGATGATGATTATCATCAACTTTACATTGTTTGAAAGTAGGGTGTTCGGGTTTGGAGGCCGTCAAAGAATGGTTTTACTTTTTGCTCCTTTTTGGCTAGTAGAGACAGTAAGGAAACAATATGAATGCAAGATTTCCTGGACGAAAAAACTTTCATGAACAATTAATTAAAAGAAGAAAAAATTTAAATAAATGAATGAACAATTCCTTTTGGTTCAAATGCTAGTAATCAATTGAAATGTGAAGCCCAGCGGAATATTAGGTGGGTTACTAAAGGTTAAACACTTTAGCAGTTGTAAGGGATATCGAAATGACATGAAATTGAGGGGAACGGATACGATTCACAGACTGTTTATCTAAGGGCGCACAAAGGGTTGACACAATTAAACGCAGGTAGGATGTAGTAAAGGCTGCTTGATCGGATGTTTGCTTTCGTGTTTCTGGCTGACTTTTTAAGTGTTTTATTTGCCTTGCCGAAGAAAAACACCATTAATTTGAATGAAATTCAATAACCGGGGCAAAAGCTGACACTGGATAAATATGAAATTGGTAGTTCTGCTTCATAATGCCAATGCGTCTGTTTGTTATTAGATGCAGTATGGAGAGAAAGAAATTAAGCAAATTGCTTTTTAAAGATTTTTCATTCACTGCCCGCATATTAAGCATAAACCCTATATCCGATTATTAATCAAAATTGCTCGAAAATGTAGCGGGAAAAAGAAATTGCTTATAACTTTGTTTCATTTATATATTCGTTTTCGAACACATTGAATATGGACAGGTTCGGATGGATCACGAGTTCTTCCGTGATTATCGACAAGAAAGCATCAATACACAAGCCTTTTAGAAGCAAATTCGTGTGTTCTCTGACATGAACTTCAGTCGTTATGAGCGGACGTAAGAATGAGAAAAATGCAAACTTTGAGTATTAATAATCAAGAGAAATTACACAAAGCTGTTGAATAGTCTTAATACATCATTTAAACAATCGACTATTAATTTTTAAACAACGTTTATGGTTTGACTGCACCCCGCGTCATATTATGATCGATATAAATAGTTCAAAGCCCCGGACAACATATTTTATGCGTTTCCGCATGATAATTCCGAATAATTATTTGCATAAACCTTTTAAAAAGTGAGCCCTTCCGCTGCATCCCGAAAAGGGTTGCACAAAAGCTCGCAAATCTCTTCGGCAAACCTGCCATTGTGTGCCCATAATAACACGCATTTTTCTTATCCATCCGACCATGGTTTATATCATATATTTCTTGTCTGGTGGTTAAAAAGGGCTATTATTCCGGGATACCTAGATTTAATATCTGTGTGAGTCGAAAGCCGTTAGAGAAATTTGTTTCGCTACCTGCCTTTTTAAAATACATGGAAGGGCTAGAAATAGTATTTGCATATTGCATTTCATGCTGCTTTAAGTGGTTTGTCTGATGTTTTTACTATTTTTGGTAGTTTGGATGGCCTAATAACAGACCACGCTAATTTTTTTATATGCTGAAAATTGGGCTACTTGCACGTTTTAATTGGATTTCAGTCATGGCGCCCTTTGTAGCTTTTTTAATTGCTTCGCTTTTCATTCTACCTTTTAAAGCCGCGCTAAAACTGTAAAATTTTGGTAGCAGCTTCTGGTTCCAGAGACTAATTTCAAAACGTAAACTGTAAAACTTTCGAACTCCAATCCTGTATTCACACCAGTAATTACATACCGTGTGTATTTCACACTATTTTCCCGTCCCTCTCCCATATGGGTGCACATAAATCAGGAATGTATGTTTGTGAATATTCATTCGAGAGATTGCTTTGTGAAAAATCGAGCGAATACACGCTCCGCCGCCGGTAACGAAGATTTATAGGTAGTTTTTGAGGAATTTAATGAGTTGAATCGAGAGCATAAATTTTCTTTGCCATTTATTTTTTAAAGTAATGTTTTCGATATGTAATGTATGCGGGCTATTTAGCAAATGGGACCGAAAACTGCTTCTCGGCAAAATCGTCCCATATGTTCTTTGATGGGTTGTTTCAATGTTTGTCACTTTAATCTAAGCTAAGCATTGCGAGAAAATATACATTTGATATTTTGTTTGCTTACTTTTCACAAATGCAAAAAACGAACAATATTTGCTGCTAAATAAGGCGGGCAAAGTGGCTTACAAAAATTGAGATTTGAGGTAATAAATATTAAATAACATCAAGAAAAGTTAACCTTTTAAATTATATTGATATTGATGGCACCAACATGGAACACTTCTTATGATTGGGTCAAAGAAATAGATACCTACATAAAACAAGGATTCATATTTTATTTGATTTATTATTTATGAAAAGTAAGATAATAATTATTATTTTAAAATCACAATAATACGTTGAATTTAAATCCATCAATTATGTTTAGGTTGTTCACTTCACCGTCATTCGATACCTTTGTTCGTTCAAAACTGATTCTAAAAATTTTTTATTTGCGCTTCAGGATGAAATCTTCCACAACAACACTAACTTTTAAATGCTTCTGTTTTGTACGTTTCCCCCTTATGATTCTAACGACTTGTAATCTGCTGTAGATTGAGTAACAAACGCATGACAAATTTTTTCTCAGCGATATTGCTACTATGAGGCTTTAGAAAAATGATTGATCGATCAGCCATGATTCAAACATTCTGATCAAATTAGGACTATTCATAGTGTGTTTCAGAATGAATAACTTTTTAAAATATATAGTCATTACATTGTTTCCATAAATATTTGCCATCTACAAACTGCCTCCTTTAAAGAAACTCATATTAAATAAAATAAAAATAATTTGCCTTCACGTACTTTACAAAACTCTGACTGGTGTTAAGCCTATATGAAATAAGGTGTGAAAGCAGGCAGATATCAGAAATAAAAATAACTATTTCTTACAAAATATACACACAATTTAAATTATTTTTATGTGTATAGTATATTTTGTTTAAAAATATTATGACTTTGCCGAAAAGTCCAAGCCAAACAATGATATTCAACTGCGATTAGTGCGGGCATTTTCCTTGATTCCGTAAAACTTTAGAATCATTTTTCATGCTTGGTGCTGCTGCTTGTTTATATCAAACTCATTAGGGCCTTAATCGTTGCTTATGAATTAGTCTTTCGCAAATAAAGCTATATAATAATACAGGCTTGATATTGTTATACATTTTTAATTTTCCGTGTATATTACAAAATGTAAAACTAAACATAAGTTAGCTATAGCGCTGAGATTTTTGCCAGCATATTTACACCATCTATTATAAAATCGAAATCTTCAGTAATTTTGTCTCAGTTTATTCGAATTTTGCAATGCGTCTTTTTTGATCAGTTTTAATGATTATTTTCATATGAATTAGGTTTTCAAGAGGCTTATTCGACTAGTAGTTTCAATATTCATCTGTAGTCATGTGTGCAACATTTTTCAGATAGCAAATTTTAAATAGTACCATTAGGGCAATTTTTAGGAAAAAAATGTCGACTGATTCTCAAAGTCAATATAATAATCATAAAACTGGTAAAATTCTGTTTTGCTTCAGTTTAACAATTGGTAAACTTGTACTTATTCATTTAATTAAAGTTAGTGATTAATGTTTTTGAAAAGTTTTCTAAAAATAATAATTACATTTTGCATTTTAGCGTTGGCAATCGGTAGGTGAAAACATCGTAATGCGTAATGAGCGATGGTTACTACAATAACCAAGTTAGTGCTTTTATGAGAATATTCCGGAACTGTACCTACTTTTAAATACAAAACTGGTTTTCAAAATTTTATTTACACCCGATGTCGCAGAAAAATGAATTTCCAGGGTGATGAATTTTATATTATTTTAAGTGAGAAGTCTAATACGAATTTGGAACATCTAACTAACAGAAAAGCCATAATTGAAATCGATCAATTAATAAAGATGGTATAAGGGTGGTAAATTTTTAACCCGAACACATCGTATAGTAATTTTTAAAATATATTGTTTTCGTATTCTGCAAGTCCCAGTACTGTAAGTAAACGAAATGAGGCAATTCGAATTCTTGACTAATCTGATAATTTATCAGTGTAAAGCATTTCAGTTCGCTGCATTCTAGGGAATAATATAAACTATTCCCGGAGGGATTAACGCCTTTCATTAAGTTCCCTAACCACTGTAATAATAACAGTAATAGAGTGGTCGATTCGAACGATTACGTTGATGAACAAAAACATTGTTCTAAATATACTTTACTTCTCAGCAAGTAAAATTTGAATTCTTACTCTCATTAGTTCTTTACAGAGCTGCTGTTAGTTCCCATACGTAATTTCTATTCACATTAGTGAAAGTTTCCTGTCCCTTTGGGCTCGTTATTATGCACATGCATGGCCCGTTACAGGAATTAACGAAGAAGCACGTATGCAGATGGGCCGCGTTTTTTTTTAATTCAGAAGGGTCAGGTATAATTACAACCCCCCCACCCAAGCAACGGTTCAAGGCCACTCCCCGGAACAGAAGGGTTGCTTGCTGATGGGTAATTTAAATTTTTTGCTTCTTGTGCATTAGTTAGTTGAAGTTAGGAGGTTTCAATGTGTATGTCGACACCAACATTATTGTATAGTTTAAGTGGACTTACCAGTGGAGTCGGTTCGCTGGTTTGTATGAGCAGGAGCAGGATTCTCACCTGAAATGGTAAATATAAATTTTAGTTTAGATCGATGATTGCACACCCATTAAATGTACTCTATTGATTGAAAAACTATTGCTGCTGCGAAACTTTCTAAGCTAAACGTGCTATAGTCTACTGGGAGCGCAAGCAATTTCCTATAAAGCAATTGTTTGTGCTTATTCATTTATTATTACTTTTAATTTTTTCAGCAACCTTATTATTTATTTTATTGCAAACCTTCAAGTAATTTCGACTTTTCCAAAGCTACCAATTTTTTTTATAATATTTTTAAACATTTTTTTAAATGTTTACTGGTGGCACGAAACCTTTTATGCTGAAAACGCTATTTATTAAGGATATAGACACCCATTCACCAGCAATTACCAAGTACTTTAGCACTATAGTATTTAATTTATTAAAAATGTCATAGAAACGAGAAAACTTTTTGAGGAATTATTTATATTGTTACGAATTGTGAGAGTGTCCTAAAAATTATAGTAAATTCTGAAGATCTAAACAATGTACCTACGTATTCAGGATCAACTCTATTTACTTGGGAATGTGACAAATCAGCTTGTGCGAAGCAAATTACCCTCTTGCCGACAAGTTCTTAGTGTACTATTTTTTAAATTGCAAAGTTAAACTTACTTCTTACTGCATATTTTGCAATTAAGGAGTTGGCTGTATAATGGCAAAAAGCAAGAATTCCTTTATGGGATGAACAACAAAGTATAACTAAATTGAAAATTTTGTACAAAAAATGAAGAGATTCAGAGAGTCAGCTAAAAGTGAATCGGAGACTTAAAGAGAAAAGTTGATACTTTCCTTGAAACACTAGACCTCCTTTTTATATTGCTCACAACGACGCAATGGAAATCATAAAGAATCAAGAAGGTACGACAATTTTAACTGTATAAAGGCAAAAAGGATGATCTGGACCGATGCTTGGGATTGATTCAAAGTTGTCAGATAAAGAATGAAAATCGAAATCAAAATTTTTCAAATTGGAAGAGAGTACAAAAAGGACGTGGAATTGGAAACTTTGGGAAACTAAATTGTTTAAATTTTTTGGATAATAATTTCTTATAAAGCTCTGTTTTTAGAAAATTTCCAACTAGATTCTTCTTGTGGTAGTAGCCTAAGCTAAGCAGAAAGTTTGAAGATATAGTAGCAGAAGAGCAAACACGTCAACCCGGTTGTTCAAATCCGAAAAAATGAGGATGGTTCCAAATATTGACACCGAAACTTCTCTCTGCCCTGGACAAATGTAAAATTAGTGACCGTCAAACTATTCATATAAAAATTACCACTGCGGAATCATTAGATGTGAATGTTTCCCAACTAATTATGAACCGATCAACGTCTCAACGTTAAAGAAACAAGTTTAGTGCAAATCGAGAAAAATAGCTCCAAAATATATTTAAATTTAATGAAATGGATTCTCTCTTCGTGCTTTGGGAGAACAAATTATTACCAAGGTATAACTGGAAAATTGTTTGTGTCCTCAGAAAGTGACTCAATTACTAGTACCAAAACTAAGAGCTGGAACAGGAACAGAACAAGCAAGTGCGGTGCTTATTTGAAACTTTAATTCAGTGGGGCAATAGAAGCTCCTTTCCAAGATCTTCAGTTTTTCAAGATAATTTTTAAATATCCTGGTTCTTCTATTTCTCAAGTAATAATGAATAAATTCGTGGAACACTTGTGATAGTTCACTCTTGAAAAAGTTGATCTTGCATTTTTTTGACACGAATGAGCCAAGGGTTGAGAAACTGAAAATGGTAGAGACCACCAAAGTTTTGGAAATCTGCCCGAATTATATTTTAAAAAAAAATTTTTGAATCGAGCATTTTATAAAAGGAAATTAGTAATTATGTATCATCTGAAATATTGAAACTTTTCAGAAGATTTCATATATCAACTGATTTTTTTAAGTACCCCCTAGAAAGTCCGAGAAAATTATCAAAAAGGGATAAATACACTTTATTACTCATTAGTTTGTTAAGGATGTTGCCGAAGGAGGAAGACATTTATTACGGGATTATAATTATATTATAACAAAGAATAAAAGTCAAAAGTACCTTCTTTTACAAGTTGTGAGTGATGATCGTCATACTTATCCAGATTGTAAGGTACATGCGTTGCTTCAAAAATACTTATTTACGTCTATTTTTTATTTATATTACTGAACTAAAGTTAGCACTTAATTTTGCAGTAGATAAGCATTTTATAATAGAGAGAGGGACTAACTAAATATCATAAAAAGTTTGAGTTCCTAAAAAAACTACAAATTTTTTAGGGATTATTATTTTATAAGTTGGAAACCTTCTGGGAGGTGAGACCCTGAAAATTCGATACTTCAAAATAAAGAGCCACCGCTTTATATGTTACGTTACTACTGAAATTCATTAATTCTTACGTGCGAAAATCCGAAAATCCGAATAATAACTTTTTTTCGAATTATCTATCTATAAGGCCCCCTAATAACTCAACTTTTTACTAATTTAACCGACTTGCATCCTTATCGTGGACCCTGTCTATGTTAATGTTTGCTTTGTTCAAACTCGAGTGTGAAAATTTGCAATTTAATTACAATCTAATGACTTAATTCTAATCCATTATTAACATTACATATCACTTATTTTACAGTTGAATTAGTGCAAATGAGCGATGGATTCAATGCAATTTTGAGATAAAATCTAATTAAACGTAAATAGTCGGTGTAGCTTTTGTCTGTAATTTTAGGAAATTACATTAACATCATAAAATATTTCATAAACTTGTTAAACCATAAAATAACAATAGCAGTACGAATCATGCCAACGACTGAAACTAATCAAGCTAATTTCATTAATTACAGCGGAAAAACTACTTTCCATTTGCACGTTGAAAAACAAAAGCAAGCGTTTAGATTAGAGCATTCAATGTTATTTGCAATTTTTCTCTATGTGGCAACTCTTTTGAATTATATTTTAGGGGTCAAAGTGATCAGTTCAGACACGTTCAAATCAAGTTCTTAATCCTTATTCCATGATTTCTAATCAATGCTCATAGAAACTGCTTCAATTATGTTCAAATGTCCATGTTGTATAGTCTGGAGCATCAGTCACGTTATCTCTATCACACTGTTCTTTCAAAAACGCAAATACCATAAAGCCCTCATTCCTCGAAAGCACGAAAAGAAAATCGTTAGTCGGAAATTGAATGCCACCAAATTGATTAGGTAAAACCAATTACCGTTCTGTCAAACCTGATGAAAAAGGTAATAAACCAGCTAGTGAATAATTTGAAAAGATTTATGAGATAGTGAAAAGGCGCCTTATTATATTAATCTGGCACGGGGATAATACGTGTAACTTGATTGCATCGAACGGGCTTATACATCCATTTGAGTGATTAACTTTCGATATTATCGCGAATTTCGGTAAATTAATAACTCGCTTCTGTTAGCTTCCGGTTTCAGTTTTTTCAATCATTATTGTTGACGGTGTTTTCCCATTTGTCAGGACAATTAGTAGGCGTAAGTCAGGCACATTGAAAACACGCTTGATCCTATGATTTTGCAATTTTATAAAGTGTGTATTCCATTGGCGTAAGGCTTTATATAATTCTGCAAATGTGCAAACTCAGATGCGTCTGGCTTAGAATATTCGACAAATGTTCTTTTAAAGTTCGTCTTCACACATTTAATTTTGACACCACAGCACATTTTCCAATTAATTTCTCAGTTACTTTCGATCAATTTTAACAAAAATGCCAAGACTTCAATAAACCAAAAAGAAATATATTAATAATGTTCTCCAACAAACTTATATACACAGCTGAAACTGACTAAGGTTTTGAAAAGTTGAAGCCATTTCAAAAGACGCGATCTTAGCTAAGATAATCAGTTGGTTGTTCACTTCCAAGGTACCCACAATATGTATTTTGGGGCGCATAAATGTGCTCTTGATTATATTTCTTTACAAAAATATGCTTTATTAATTCATTGAATATTACAGTGCAAATTTTCTAAATCACCTTTGTCACGCTAAGCTTACTGTGGTATGCGACATAGCTGAACATTAAGTGCTGTACTCTTGAAACACACTGAAAATTCAGTAAAAACTCATGCTTTGTACTTAAGCATTAATGCGTAGTTGTTGTTTCAATGAAGGATTTTTCTGGGTTATTAGATGATTATTTATTATAAATTTCCCGCTTGAGTTTGTAAATGTCGCTTGAATATTCGTAAAATGAGCAATAACAAAATGAGAAGAGAGTCTCATTTTCAACTGATAATTTAACAATGCTTTTTACTCGCAACTGAGACAAGTAAAAATTCAGTTTATATTCAAACACACAATTTAGACACTAATTTAACTGAATCTGCCACCTTGTATGAGAAAAACGACGCATTTTAAATTTGGCTGAATCGTGTCTAAAAGTATCTCTATAATTGGCTGAATTTGCTGAATTTCGTGCAATAACTCACTTAACAAGGTCTGAAGTTGTCACGTGAATCAACAATGTTACATGTTGCAAATGCCTGTTTCCACTTGAAACTTTAATTCGACCCAAAATCCATAAGCGCAATTTAGTGCAATTAGGCTCGAAACACTTGCATGTGCACGAATTTGCATCTGAAAGAACTGTGAGCGTTTAGCAGTGTTGCAATTTTTGGAGAACCAGTTATTTTGAACCCATAAAATTTAAAAAACACATGTTTAGATGGTGATTTTTGGGGAAGAACTTTGGCAAAGAATAGTTAATTTTATTATTACATCTGTTGCCACACCATTATTACATCTGTTGTAAATGCTTGAAATTACAAATATTGAAAGAGGTTTAAGCATTTTTGCGTCTGAACATGAAAGTGTACGCATTATATCTATAACGTGTATTTTAGCTAAAATAGAGGATTTATAACGATTTTTTTCTGATGTAATTTTAGTTTGAAGATCGATGGATATTTAAAATAGAATTTTAAAAATTCAAGTGATAGTGCTCAGAGTTTAGTGAATTTTATAATCTTGTATAGTCACGAACGAGAAATAATGCTGTTCGAATGTCAGAAAAATTTACAGTTAACTAAATTTAAAAAACAAGTCCTTATAAGGGAACAAATGTAACAATAGTAACTAACATATTTAATTTTTTGCTTCTGATGTGAAGTCGAAAAACTGATGGTGGAATTAATTTTTGGCAAAATTACGTCGATTTCATCAGTTTAACTGCATTCAATTTATTAATAATTTTAATTGGTTTTCTCGTTTCTCGTGCGTTATAAAATTTGCGTTAATTTGCTAGTGCTTTTAATAACTTTCGATAAAAAAGCTTAAAATCTGTGTGTGACAAGTGGAGCATTCTTTTCTCGTCGTCGATATCGACTTATATATCAGATTTTGTAATATTTTGATTTATTGTATCGTAATTTATCCTGTTTTTTGAATTTTATTCCATTTTGAAATTAAGGTTAACATCGATGTTAGCCTTCGTCCTAAGCTTTTTAAGTTAGTAACTTTGGAAAGCAGAATATCTTAGAGATCGGTGAGACCAATTTATTGTTTTTATTGCAGTTTTATTACGTTTCGGTCAAGAAGATCACTCCAAATTTATCCATCAATTCATCCAAATAGTCTAATTTCTCTTGAAAACTTAAGTTTAGCACTAGAGCTATTAATACTTTCTCAGTCGAAGACTCGATAAAAAAATTAAGTATATCTATCTAAAGCTAGAAATTTCCTTTTTCCTTGTTTTACAAAATTATATTAATAGCAACTTTATTACTTTAAAATGCGTGCAAGACGATATTATAAGTCAAGATATTGTTAAGCAAAGTGAAAAGGCAATCTAAGCTGAACGGTTGGAAACTTTGAAAACTGGGAATATTAGGAATAAATTTGCTGAGGTCTGAAGTACTGAAACTTTCTTATGGGAAAATGAAAAGTTTTTTTGTGAAATCAACAAAAAAAAAACATTTAAGAACCCATAGCTTCTACTTTTAGAAAATATTTTACAAGCAATTTTAAGGCTAATAAGCATTCGATTAAAGCACTACCAGGCTAAAATCAAAGTGATAATTCCAGTCTCAATAATCATTCAAAATTACTTGTAGATATATGCAGAATATTTAGGAGAGAAAAAATGGTACATTCGGCAACGTAGTCGAAATTAATCGAGCATGCATGTCCATGTTTGAACCGAGATGCAAATTGGCCTGCAATTTGCCCAAAGGGCGCCATTCCTGGACGATGTCCGCACATGTTTTCAGCCCTAAGGGCAGTCGGAATGGCGTTTGCGGCCAACCTCCGACATGAACGCTTCCCTGTTTCCGTCTTGCTCCACTCTAAATTCATTATTTTTACTGCGTCGAATTGCATTTGGAATCATTTTCCGGATGTTTAATGTTTGTGATATCAGCGATTTATATTGTTTCCTCAACTATTTGTAAGGTATTCTTAGCACATAATTAAGGCTTGGAATAATTATTGAGGGCGTTCTTCGGCCATTCAACTAAACAGTTTTAAAGTACTTTTGATACTCAAATGAAATGTGCAGAGTCAGAAAGACACAATGGACTGCAACAAAAATGCTTTTTTAAATTGCCACACGAACAACTGAAATAGTTGGATAGAATCCAACAGAATTCTAGTTCCACAAAGAGGAACTATTGTGGAATTGCAACATTATTACAGCAATTGAGTACTTTAAATAAAAGGTTGAACTTTAAATCTGCTTTTAAGTTTGGTAATGCGTATTTCAGTTCATTAGTCCCCCCTTTATTGAGGGACTTGTTCGTAAATACCATGCAATTTCCTCAAAAAGCCCCACGATTCGCATTAAGCAAATTAACCCTTTACACAATTTTAATGACATCGCTATTTTGGCAATGGAGCGTTTCATATCGAAAAAAACCGTCCATTTATTTCCGAAAACCACTATCAAACCCTAATGGTCTTTTAATTTTTAGGTCGAATTTTGGTTTCACACCTCGAATAATGCCCGGCCTCACAAAATGTAGGGTTTCGGCCCCGTAGTTTGCCTGTTTGCCCCCCTAATCGATGTTTAATAACAATAATTTTCTGATTCTTTGGAAACGGCGATTTCATTAGGTCGGTCACAATAACTCGGGTTGATTTTCTTCAGTTCTGGCAAAATGGTGTCTATTTAACCATTCGCTTTAAAATATTTTTGATTAGAAGTTAATTACGGATACTTTAAATTAGCTGTTAAAATGGAGAAAAAATAATTTCAATCGAATTGAAATTTTATTAAATTAAGAGATTTGTGTTAAAAAAGTAGGTACATGAAATCCAAACATAAAAAAGGTGCAAACGCGTTTGAAAGAAATAATCTGAAAAATAATTAAAGTAGTCGGTTTCTAAGTTGAGTTTAACGAGACTGATAGTGAAAGGAATTATTCGGCCAGACAAAAAGTAGAAACTTTTGAGGTTCTAATATAACAGACAAATTAAAGTTTTCAGTGCGCTAAATTATATTTAAATCCTAAAATCGAATTTACAAAATAAGATCTAAGCTTTGACAGAAATATCATGAAAAGAAGCAAATAGTGAATAAAAGGAGTAAAAACCATGTTATAATAGAAATGCGAAATATAATGACAAAAATTCAAGCGAATGGGAGGTTTACAAATAATGCAATAAATGAAATATACCATGAATAAGCCTATTAGAAGCAAACTGTGAAAAGAGACATTTGTTGATTGAAATGACCAACATAACAACACAAAACATACTTTATCAAATTTTCTGCTGGTATATAAGTGAAAGACAGCATCATACATGCAAAGCCATATCCAGCTAATAAATAGACTTAGACTTAAATCAGATGAAATTACTTTAGAATGATCTAAAAATGTTTATTACCTTTTTCAGATCGCCGGCAACAACCACCTGATGACCGTCGATAATTCACACAGTCTCACCGACAAATCTGGATAGGAGCAAAATCTGGCCTTAGAACAATGATAAGGAATGAATGATAAAATTAAATGAATAGAGCAGTAAAACTGAGCAACGAAATAAATATGGATATCGGGATTCGAGGTTCGACCTGGCAGGATCAAGGAAAGTCGGCGAATGCTCGTGAAAAATTCAAAACTCTGGAAGAAACGGACGCGTCCTTGAAAGGGACAGGGATAGGGTTTTGCATCCGCAGGAAGGAAGAGGACGGGAAAGAAAAATCCAGTTGAAAGCGCACTAAGAAAGTCCGCGCCAAGGAAAGTTGAAGACAGTTGCGAATCGGGCACATGTTTGCGTCGTGGCGCAGAATCAAAATGGCTGCGAACGACGCCGGATCCAGAAGCGTCGCATAGTTGCCACGTTGAAGCAAAAAGTGAAAATATAATTTGCGTCTTTTTGCAACCGAAGTCAATTATGATCAATCAGCTTTTAAAGATGATTGAAATCAGAACCTCGATATATAAACGTACATGTTAATAAAGCGCAAGTGGGTAGTTTTTATACAAATTTTTCACTTCCTCTTTTGGACCTTATAGACATATAACTTGCACTTGAAACATTGAAAAATGTACCTTTCAGTTGATGCATTAGCATCCTCAAAAGCAGTCTGTGCGGGACATAACAACTAGGCAAATATCCTTTTAAAGCGAGGGTGCGCTCAAGGTAAGCACTTGATTATTGATAGTTCCTCCAATGAGAATAAAAATGGTTCTCACCAGCAGATAATTTCTTAAATAGTTAATTTTGCATTGTCTTGGTTGAAGCTTCGAGACCAAACCGAGTACATTCGCAACCCTCACTGAGCTGACACCAAACTTGACAACATCGCACTCTCTCTCATTTCCCTCCAAAGTTTTGCTTACAATTAGGCCTCAGTAATTAAGAAGAGGTTCTCCACACCAAACCTCCACGTGGCATTTCGACTGAGACCGGAATCGAAGGATTAGAGTAAAAATAGGCCAATAGTAGTGATAAAGTAATAAAAAAATGGGGATGCGGGTGGGTTTACACCCCTCTCCACGTCGCGGTATCGAATACGTTATATCATCGATTTTATTTTTAATACATGCTGTCTAACAATGGCGTGGATCCGGGGGAGTGTATAGGAGAGGGATGGAATGGGGGTGAATGGGGTTCGTGTGTGATGTTTGTTGTGTTGTTGCTTGGTTCGCTTATTATTGGTTTGATGGATTGGGCAGGAAAGTTAATAGAAAGAAACAAATTTTCAATGGAAGGCTTCCTTCTGCCACAAGAATAGGGCCCGTCATTTTTTTCCCATATATTTGGAAAACCGCAGTTTGGTAAAAAAGCGACTTGCCCATGACATTTCCATTCATTGTTTCTAGCTTTGTAACAGTTACAATCAATATATTAAGAGATCAATAACTAGATGGCTTTTTTAAGGTGGAAAGCCAACTCGAGCAGGTCAAGAAAAGACAAATTTTAAGATGCTTTTTTCATATTTATTAGATGCAAATAATGGTATTTTTCATTTTGTTTTGCTACAGGGTACATGTATAATTTTTTATAGTTTAGTTTTAATGCCGGGCTGATAGTGGCGTAAACTGCAAATTTTGTTTTGTAAAATTGTATTCATTAAAGTCACTTAATTACTGCTTGATAGTGTATTTTAGAGCTGGTCGATTTGATGAATCCATTACTTATAGATTACAATTATTGCATATATTTCGAGGCTGTCGTTGTAAAGTTTACTATGTAATTTTAGAATGGTTTTCTTTAGTTTAAATTGAGAGAGCAATTTTAGATGGATTTCTTTGATATTTATAAAAGAACGTTTCCTGTTTTCTTCTCGGCTCGATGTGGATTAATTTATATCTGTAAATACGTTTTTTATAAAAAAAACAATTCCGATTTACAATAATTCGACCCTGTTAAAATACAATTATAAACTGGAAAAATGTTTTGCTTCTAATAATATTTGCCTTGGCGAAAACTTAAGTATCAGTATCACGCATCATTTGGAAGGACTGTTATTTCTGGAGGCTGATTCAAAATTGATCACATTCTTTGGGAGTTCTCTGGAGCCGTATTTAAGGAATACGAAAAAAAAATGATTTAAAATCTAGTGCTCACAGATATTCAGATTTTGCAGATATTCGCAAAATACGAAATCACAAATTTGGCAACACTGGTGTAATTAATCGCGCCTGCTGACGACGGGTTTTACATTCAGATTAGGTAAATATCTCTTCATGTTCAAATCAAAAACCACAGGTTAGACTCCAAGAAAAATGTGAAAAACTACATAATTTTACTGGTCAATAAACTTATAATTCAATGTTTAAAAATCCGTTTTTATTGTTTGCAGGAACTAATGCTTCTTTTTAATGATAAAATGGAAAGCCTTCGTCAAGAAATGTGCAGAGCTGATGGGTTCGTAGAGATGGCCTTCTTCCTGTTGTCTTATTACACATTTATCTTTCATATATAAAGCGAATATTCATCAACTAAATAATGCGCTGAGAAGCAATTACTTTCAAATATTGAAGTTTTTAATTTTTCTGTTGCAGGTTCGTCAAGTCTTTGAGATGAAATCAGTCCGCTAATGTTCTCTTATCCACCGCTAAGATATTGAATAAGATCCAATTTTTTTTCTAATTTGTTTTACCAGTTTATTTCAATTCAATTTCAAGTACTGCACAGTTGACGCAAGTCAATAACGAAATAAAAAAGTGATTTATTTTACCAGTTAATTGTTAACATTGTACAAATTTATCCGTTTTTAGTTTTTTTATTTATCCTGACTTTTGCAGTTCACAAAATTAAAATGCCATGTTGTCGACTGCTCTCGTAAAAAGTGAACGGTTATTTTGTAGATAAATTTAATGTGTCTGTACCTAAATCAACTAATGACGAATGTTTAATTTATCAACAATAGAAAAATACGAATCGTTTTTAACACTTCTATGAAACTGTGCTCTAACAATAATATCCGAATTAAAAGGAATAAATTTGTTCAAATCACTAAGAACAAACGCTCAAGCTTGCAACCATGCAAGATAAAAGACTATAGTATTGTTGGGATGCCTTGTAACAACACGTTACATGAGATTGATGATAGATGAGAGATGAGATTAATGACGAAGTTTTAGGGTTTTGCTTTGGTTTTTTGATCTTTAAAAAAGGTTATGTCTAACTACAAATTCGAATTAATCTAAGTTTTTCGTACTGTATTTAATGGAATTCGGTCTCCTTATGATTACCTATTTCTTTGGTCAAGTTATTGGCAAATTGTATTATTTTTCTCTGATTTGCAAACTGAGGATCTACAAATACAAGACCTGCCTCTACCAGCTCTACGTTTTACTGTTATGTTCGCTTGTTGATGTCGACTAAAATTAAAATGAATAAACGTCTTTTATTATTTAAATCGAGCTACTTATTATATTTGTTATTATGAAAGATCTTTGGTTCGTTGCAACAGCAAGCTTTGAATATTATCTTAGCCACTGCTACTGTATCCTCTCTTTGGTTGGTATCCAAATGACCAAACACAACTGTTGAAAAAACGTTGCAAAAACGTTGCAAACGAGTTGCAAAAACTAACACCAACACTATCTGAGTTTTCGGTTCACTAAGGGCAAGCTTTTTCAAATTAATATTATTATTTATTTTGTGTAATTTATTTGCTGTGTTCTTCCATTCCATGCCAAGTTAATCGATCTCTTATAAACTAAAATATATGTCATTCATTTGATGAACTGTTTTGTTAATTTCCTTTTAAAGCTTAACATATATTTTTCTCTATTAGTTTTTGCTGCAACATTCAGCTTTTAGCAAATTAATTAATCAAATAATTTTTTTTTCGCAGAAAACTATCGCATGGACTTTAATCTCCGGCTAATTTACCTTTTTGCCTTTCTACATAGTAATAAAATTATTTTCAGGGACATTTAAGTTTGGGTTAAGCTGTTCAATCCTAAATCACGAAAATTCAGATTAAAGGAAGTTTGTATAATCGCATAATTTTGGAACGGAAAGGAAATTTAAAGAAGAAATAAAAAGAACAAGTATTTGAAACGAAACGACTAATGTTTATGATACGGAATTATGTTTTCCTATTGCTGTTTGGTCGCCTTTTTGTACGTTCGACAGACAGAGCAGGAAACAATCGATATTCTGCGATATTTTGATTACAACAATGCTAAGTTTTCTAAATCGTTATTTTCAACCAAAACTTTTAACAGATCGAATGAGAAACTAAAGGTAAACTAGCAAGAAGCATATAAAAAGTCAATCAACTTTCATTCTCCTCAAACCTCTTGAATTCAACCTTATGCAAGAAACTTTTGATAAATATTTGATTCAAATGTTTTTAAATCAACCAAAAAGTTGATGCATGAATTAAACTTTGTCCGAATTGAAAATTATAATAAATGCCCTCTTCAACTACCCAAATCTGACATCTTTAATCCCTTAAGGGTTATTCCACCAGCAATTCATTTTCCTCCCTACCTCCCATGAAAACAGACGATACGTCAAGTTTGTGTGATAGCATGGCAAACACTCAGGCCAATTTTTCTGAAACGATAGCTTCGATATCAAATATGCATATGTAATGTTATTGACGAGGAGTAGCATTCAACTTACGAATATTAAAGTTCATTTTTACATTCAGGAAATCAATCAATTACGCCCTTTCCTTCTCTAGTAGTCAAAGCTCGTATCCTCATGATTATTTTAAATACATTTTTGTCATTATCGCAATGGGAATAAGCTAAATTATTTGTACCACCGAATAGTTTGGCAAGTAAAAACTAGTATCAGGATACAAAATGATTTTCTGAAAATTGAGTGTTTTGTAAACCTTCTTTAAACGCGCAAATGGTGTTTGATACTGAATTTATTGCTTTCTCAAAACTCTTGTTTCAACTTTAACAATCGAATTAAAACCTGAAGAAAATGGGAATTGGCTCGAGACTGTGTCTAATAGAGTGTTTGATATTCCATCCGCCTATCATTTTGAACGAAAGGTTTTTGAATAAATTGGTGGAAACTTAACGGGGCAGAAATTGCGTGCTACGTGTTGGGTACATGAGGTGTTTCATCTGCACGTGTCTCTTTATTCAAAGTTCACTTATCTATAATAAAACCCGATTCCATTAGAAAAATGCGAAAATTTGAGCTGCAAAAGAGAACAACATTCAAATTCTTTCGAGTAACACAGAGTTGCCTATTATCCCATTATATTGGAGAGTTGTTTTTTTTTTGAAATAATTGATTAAAAATTATAAGGAAAGGGTGACTAGCTTCACTAGATACCTGCTGCTTTGCATATGACGCCAGGTTGTTCACCCCCTGGATTTTTCCTTCAGTTCACGGGGATTATTTTTCTTCATTTATACCTGACGACGGTTGCTTCCTGATGGTCTTCTATTGTGTAACAAAGGGTATAAATTGGAACTTCTTTCAGACGATCATCATCAAAGGGGTGCTTGTATTGTTGAGCAGGGTTTATTCCTTTGTTGGATAGAGGAAGTAACATTTGTGTCTGATGTCTGTGGGATATTTTCATTTGCATATCACAATTCTTTTAGCTGTGGGTACCTATGTTTGGTAAATTAAATTCTTCCTGGCTTTAGATGATTGTGTGTGAAGAAAACTTGGTGTTTTGACTATTTTTGACTCAGTTTTGGCTGATTTTCCTGTTTCTGTGTTGTCCACTAAATAGTTATACTGAGCCCGCCACTGCAGTTTGTACAGGTAACTGAGTAATGAACGGATTGTGCAAGAAAAAAGTGATAAATCGGGTCGGTTCATTTGAATATAATTCAGAGGGCCCTTTTTGAAAGGTATAAAAGAGTCCTCGCCAGCCGTGCAGTTCGTTTTGGGATATTCAAATGAGCGTTATTGAAAAATTGGCGTACGGGGAGATGCACCTTGAATGTCGCGCACTGGATTTGCATAATATGTTATATTGTACGTTGACTGTAAATCATTCCTATTGGGGTCGATTTGAGTTACTGGCCCTATTTAGTTGTAGATAACGGAATAGGATCATGTTTGGAAACAGTGACGTGCAGGCTGGCCCAATATCCTAACCCCTATATCCAGGTAACACTTAATTACTATTATGATTTTAAAAATGAATCCGCCTTTATTTTTCTGTTTTTTTTTTATTTAGTTTATCCGCTGGATAATTTTAGATACCCAAAGTCATGCAGAAGACTTATAACTTAGTCACTTTTATAGATATTGACTTTTAGGGACAGTAAAACAAATTCCAGGCAATTTCAACGCAAAACTAAAGTTTTTTAAATTTATTTTTTAATTTGTCTGTTCATTTGTACTGGATGCTTTAAAAGTTCTGATTATCATTAAAGATCATCAAAACTTCACATAAACTTTCTAAATCTTTGAGTTACACCTTCTATAAATGGTAGTACAATTGCAAGAAATTTGCAGACTGCAGCTTTCTTTGCTTCGTAACTCAAATATTTTTCGCGCCTCTGTGGTGGTTGCAATACGATCGTTTGTGTTCTGTTGTGTCCACTTTTGCACCACTCTTGAAATAAAATTATTTGACTTGAATGCACAGAATTTTATTTTGTTGAATCCAATCACTCGCAAACAGCAAGTCATTCTCAGAATGAGTTCAAAGAAGAAAATTTAAAACATTGATGCCTGTAAGCCGAAGATTAAAATTCCTAGTCAGAAAGATCGCTAATAAACCGACAGTTTCAAAAACTGCCATAAAACGTGAAAATGCTAAACATCGACAAACCGATATACGAAGTGGCTCAAACTTTGCGTGATGGAAAAACTTGAACACGTTATTTTCCAATTAGGTATTAAAATGAGACATGCACATCAAGACATACTCTCTATGCATCAGTGTTATAACAAAATTAGACTGTTTATCACAAAAATCAGCTGATAGCGAAGTTTTTATTATTTTATAAAATTGTTAAATTTGACTTCATTACTTCCCTTCATAACAACAGATTTCATTCTTTCAATATGTCCAATTGAGTTTTGTATCCATAATGTTTCACAGAACTACGCTAATATGACAATTTTAGTTTTAGTATTAATATTTGGATCATTGGGCAAAGGTTTTGGCTGAAAAGTTGATAAAACGACGTGAAAATAGGACTTCTTAAATTATTATTTAACAGTTTTAGGGTTCTTCTATATAAAACCCTTTACAAAACTTTAAATCTTTACTAAAATCCTTTGCTCTGAGCTTGCTCATATTATCATATCAATATTTTTCTGTATTATATTTAATAACCTTTCGTTATTTTTAAATGGAATAGGGATATTTAACTCAATATTTAACGGATTTTTCGTGGCTCCAAAAGTGGGGCAGGTACTAACGTATCTAGTAAGTAAATAAGTAAATCTAGTAAGCAGAAAATAATATTTCAGTTGTTTCATTGCATTTTCATCTTCGAACGTTATTAACCAGTGCATTGTATACTTCAACTGCTGCATTTTTTAAATAGTTTTTATATATTCCTTTATTTCTTGATAACAACTTCTTTGATAAGGAACATAAGGTCGGGAAGTAACGCTGATCATTGGTATGAAAACTAATCTCGCAAAGATTCATACGCAATTTTATATACCTGAGCAAGAATATTTTGAAGCATTTACGACTTCTACAAAAAGTCAGTTATAAGCGAAACGTGTGGTTGGAATATTATAGAATCACGTCGTGGAAACCCACAAGTTCCAATAAAGTTATAATTCCTTTCTTTCTATCTTTTGCATATTCTATCTTTGTAAATGCCTAATCGTATCAAACAAAGAATACCCTCAATAACACATTCTCTACATATTATGAACCAGGCTTCAACTTTGGTCTAATCATCGAGATATAGGAAATTTTCAAATATACTTTATTAGAAAAATGATCTCCATTGTAGGCGTTCCATATATTTCCTTCAATTATGTATTTATTGGCATTGTAATTTAGGTGAATAGCGTAAGTTGCATAGTAGCTGTCAGATCAAATAATGAATGTTATAAGTTGATTAAATATACGTTTTAGAGTTGAAGTGTGTATTATTTCAATTTTTAGGTAACGAGTTGGCAAAGCTGTCTCCTTCCTAATACAACAGCGACATTTCAGTTCAACCTTTTTTTACAAGTTCTATACTTGTTTTGCTGAGCCTGCTTTTGACGATTTTTTTGTGCAACTTTTAGGTGCTTACTAATCTCGTTGCCATCGTGTTTTAAAAAATTTCTCACATACCATGTCGAATTGAAAGAACTTTTTTTCCTTTATAGCTGCACACTTTACTGTCGATGCTCTGCTAGATACTATTTCGAATAATTTTTCTATACATCTCGACACTGTTTAGCAAATTAGAATACAATAAAGTTTGAAAACTTGTCCATTCTGAAATACACCTGTTGCACCACTGAA